TTCGTGAAGCTTTGACTGTCGTTGGATTCAGACACAGGCCGTATGGTTTTCTCTTTTGGAAATTGGTCCATTGAGCAAAGGAATTTTCATTCCCCAGGGTGCTTCTATTTATGGTTTTTTAGGTAATAGGAAGTTTCGTTTTCTTTAAACTATCTACAACATATATCCTAAGAGTGAAAGGTTATCAACTATTTTGTCAAATTGTTTAAATTCCTTTACTCATGCAACATTAGAGAAGGTATTACTTGTAAACAAAAGCTAAACAGATGTATTTATTGTGGCTTACAGTTAAACCGAAAGCCGGCGAAATATTGGAAAACCAATAGTCCTAAAATGTGTTGTAAAAACAAGTTAACTGCGTGTCAGTGTTCCCTCTAAGTTGCGCGTCCGCACAACAACCAATCAATTCATTATTCCAGCCGCGCTCATCCTCAATAATGGTAACGAGTCTCAACACGTTGACGGCCTTAATGACCCTGGCAGTCGATAGGCCTAAAGCCCAAATAATCAACTTATAGCATTGCAAAGCGGCCTAATGATCTAATAGGGTCGATGGTCTAAAAATACCCCCTCCCCTAATAATAATAATAAAACTAGTACCGCACATTACCTTGATACTAGTGCACATGAAAAAATTCATTCCGCACATGTATTGAAAAAATTAGAGGGATCATTGCTGCAGGGGTTGTTTTTTCCACATTCCACAGAGATGAGGAAAAATCATAATTTCATAGAATCTTTTGTCTCTCATCGTCCAGTTTAACTGATGAGTTCTGGTATTTATTCATCGTATTGCTTACTAAGCAATGACTTGTGAGAGGCAAAAGATAGATCTGAAATACTATTTTTTACACACCTCTGATTTCAAGCCGCAATAGACAAATTAATAGGAACGTGGAAAACAATCTCTGCAGTTAACTTTTAAATCTATCTTATTCTTCTGTCGTGGTTTTAATGACATTTGTTACACTAGAATGGTCACATAAACACCCTGTGAAACTTGACCTAATGTGTTGATTGCTTTTTGATTAACATTACATAATTGTCGACCTGACTTAACCTTGTGGTTAGGGCACTTGACTTGCAAGCTGCGGGTCGCGGGTTCGAATCCCGTCACTGAGCATGGTCGCCCTTTCAGTCGTGGGGTACATTATAAGGTTACGATCAATCCCACTTTTCATTGATAAAGGAGTAGTCCAAGAGTTGCCTTTCCTCTAGTCTATCACATCTACATTAGGGACGACTAGCGCAGACAGCCTTCGACTAGCTTTGCGCGAAATTCAACCAACAAACAAACAAGTTTAATTGTGATCTAGATGTGACATGAATAATTGTATTTAGTTATCTTATGTATAAATTTATATAAATATAATAGTACTGTCTATTGATGTCCATGTAACTACTTCACAGGGTGTGGATGAATCTTCACCAAAACTGGCATGGAGGTTCATTAGGTCCATTCGGGGGTATATGCAAAATTTCAGTTTTGCTTTTTGTCGGTTTTATGGGCGTTTTTTACCACTCCTTCGCCCCCAGTAGATGGATTTTCACCAAACTTTGCATGAAAGTTTGTTGGGTTCATGGGAAGATGCATACAGATTTTCAGTTTTACATTTTGCAGTTTTTGTGGTTTTTTTACAGTTACATATAAGGGAAGCAACTTTTCACGTCCTAAGATACTTTCATTAATCATGAAGTTACATAACTTCCGTTCAGGGGACGGGTACTCCAGCTAGTGAATAAATAAGTTATAAAACAGCATTAGTTTAGTAATCTAACGTTTCTACATACTTGGTTCCCTGTTGTTCAAGTATCACTTTTATATATCGGATGAAAAACTCCAGAATATGTAATCGATTTTCATGGAAGCCTTGTGTTAAGATAATCTGATACAAAATATTATTGTCATCCTTCAAGAAGCAAAACATTATGATGGTACATTACACATTACTGTCACCAACATTCTTCAAAACCATTTATTAAGATAACAGAGATGAGTACGTTATATTGAAACGATTTTCGAGTCTCATGACGTCGTTATAGTCCATATTGCCATATCAGGCCATGCTCTGGCTGACGACTGTACATCTTGACAATAACCATGTAGCTTAGTTTCCATTGCAAAACACTTCGTGGCAAGGCTGTCACGTCTAACACATACCACTCGTCACTGTGGGCTTTCCATAATCCATCTAGTGTACGACGGTTCCCAGTGGCCGTTTCAGCTGTTTGAGGTATGCGCTGGTTGAACGGGAGATATAACTGGAAGTTTTATCTTGGTGAACCCATACCCTGCTGGCCTTTTTTCAGACGGAGATTTTTCTCGTTTGTGTTGTGTATTATTATCTGGGGCACATTGACGGATTTGCCACTGAACTTTGTATTTGTGGATTCTCACTTGTTACAAGATGCCGCACTTTGCTTACCACTGCAGGAATACGACTTGTTGCAGGTCTCTTTTTGGATAATCCTAGTTTCCCAAGTTGATACTTTTCCTTTGTTTTCCAATGGCATTAAGGACAAGGGAGATCCTCAGTTTGAAAACAACTTTATGTTCTGAGTGAATGAACATTTTACGTCGGTAAGAGTTGCTACATATCCTTCCCAAAAAGGGCCAATTTTCGGTGGCATCATACTACCAACGAAACACAAAAACAATGTCAAAATGTATTTCTGATACCTTATATCAGCTTTGACTTGTTGATATGCCTATTCGAAATAATTTTAATAAACGTACTCAACTTTCTGTATAATATACCGTACATTACACATCAACAGACGTTTATACATAACCTGGCGGAATTTTATATTTCTTTTTTTTCGTTGTTGTTGTTCTTGTATTAAGGTTATCATGAACCACCACAGGGGTTCATAATAGGTATGGCAAGGAATTGTACTAATAGAAATACTAATCCTAATAGAATGTACGGTTGTCTGCTAAAGCTGTACACACATATAAAAATGCACAAAAAAGCACGCATGTTAGATTTACAAGGAAAGAAAATCCACTTTAAATGACATATTTGTAATTCTTATGATTATTATTATTATGCCAGCTTACAACAAAAACGGTTTGATATATTGCACCCAAAAAAAATTTTGTAGAATACTAAATAAGGTACTGCGAAGGTCGTGGGGATATTGAAAAGTCGAGTTGTTTCTTTTATAATTTATTATAAGCTAAAATTATCATAATTCTAGTGTAAACGATGTTATCATAACCTCTTGAAGTAAGCTTTCTTACAAATATTTGGTATTCCTTAAAATGGAAAAAAATATAGAAACTCAGTGCTTTGTACACTATACAATCAGTGTCTTTAGGGAGTCAACCCCTATATTACGTATAAAGTGAAAGAGTAAAAAAGAATCAATACATCTCTTACTATAATGGACGTAGCATGTATGTCAGTATTTATGTATGTAACCAAAACCCCTGCGCCATCTATTGAATGGCGCCACAAACAAAAGTCCGTAGACAATTTTCACACTTTGAGTATTCAAGATTAAGACAATTAGAAAAATAACTGTGGAATGGGAAACAACCATTTCTTTATAATAGAACACAATTTTAAATAAAAATACTCTCCTCACAACAAGAATACGAATTTCGCTAAGACAGTACGTAAGGATTTGATCATATCTTTATTGATGTAATTTTTAAATGCAGTACAGAAAAACTGGAGTTCTTAAAAAAACTATTATTTTTTGAATAAACGCTACCACTTTTAATGTATAAAAACATTACAGTTTATATCAGTAACAATTTATCAACATAAGAACAACACAAAAGAAAAACACCATTAAGAGGAAACATCGTACGATGGCCAGGTGGTTATGGCGCTCGATTTGCAACCTGAGGGTCGCGGGTTCGAATCCCCGTCCCACCAAACATACTCACCCTTTCAGCCGTGGGGGCGTTATAATGTAGCGGTCAATCCCACTATTCGTTGGTAAGAGAGTAGCCCAGGAGTTGGCGGTGGATGGTGATGACTTAGTCTTACACTGCTAAATTAGGGACGCAGATAGTCCTCGTGTAGCTTTGAGCGAAATTCAGAAACAAACTTATTTAAAGTGCATAAAAATGTTTGTTACACAATTATTCCTTTATTTACTATTCATTTTAAGTACTTTAACTGATTTTGTTATGTTAACAATTGTTTGTTATCAAGGCAAAGCTACACAATGAGTGGTCCCCCAGAGGGACAGCGGTAAATTTGCGTTCTTACAATACTAAAATTCGGGGTTCAATTTCCCGCGGTGGACACAGCAGATAGCCCGATGTGGCTCTAAAAACAAACAAACAGCTACACAATTGGTTATCTGCGCTGTGGCTACCATGAGGAATCGGCACCCCTGATTTTAGCGTTATATGCCCTTAAGCTTATCGCTGATCCAGCGAAGGCCCTCTAGTAATAAGCTGTTTAGTACCTCGTGTTGATTGAATGGAAATTTTTATCTTTGTATGTACAGTGTTCACAACTCCGTCAGTTATTTTTTTGTCATGTTAGACAGTCACGTGTAGTAAACTGGTTTATCTAAGACTTCCACTGCTGTTTGTGCCTCTGAAACTCTTATTAAACCACGTCATACGAATCAAACTTGGTATTCGAAAACACACAATACGCTTCTTTCCCAGCTATCAGGAACTTCGCTCTTAGTTTATTTTACAGTACTGTAATATTTTTCGAAATTAAAACGTTGACTGCTGTTTATTTCAGTTTAAATAGGAGCTGAAAGCCACTGAAAGTTTTTGCTGGAAAAGAATCAATATGATGCATCTGTGTTTAAGAGTTTTTATCTCTCGGATGTGGGTTAAATAAATAAACGTTTTTGTTGTTGCTGTTTTTGTATTTTTTACTGATTGCCCTTTATCATCAGTAGTGAAATAGATTTTTATGTGTGGCGAAGTGATGAAACGCTTGAAACTGCTCGACTTTCTTAATTTTGTAAATCAATATTAGATTCTTATGTTAAATAGTACTTTCTTTGTGACATTACAGCGTTTCAAGAAAAATCCCGAACATGTCTTGGTGGATTCAGCGTCACCGTTGTGGTCCGTTGGAGAAGATGCAGAAGTTAGATGTAACTTCTGTTTACTCTCAGCCTCAGCTCATCCACAGGGAGACTCTGAGTTTTTAATTTGTATCGACTGCGGTGGCAGAGGCAAGTATTATTTGTCTATCCATCTATCAGTCTCATCCTTATATTTATGTATCTCTGTGGGACCCATCTGTACGTCTGTCTGCATATAATTTATCGTTTTTCTTTCAATTTAATCATTTAGCTACCTGTTTATACGTGCACCTAGTTAATAATATCTACAGGTGTCATTCTGTTCCGTCTGTCTATCTATATTTTATCAGTTTCCTTATTTGTTTATATGTTTGCCTTCTTATCCATCTCTTTATTTTGTCCCAAGTTTCTTCACCTATCCACCAAATTTTTATCAATGTATTGTCAAAATATTTGTCAGCCAGACTTTCTACTCCTAGCTATGGCTATCTATGTCAGTGATATTTGTGATATCAATTTTTATTGTATTTGTTTGTCTATTATCGGTTTATCTACCCAGTATCTATATTAACGTATTTTTCTGTATGTCAATTTATTTGTAATTTTCCTTTTACTTCCACGTTTTTTCTTTTATTATTTTTGTTTCAATAAAGGATCAGAGTTTTTATATAATTACCATTTGAAGACAAACGGGTGGCGTACAAAAACGGATAAACCATAATGTCATATTTACAAAAACAAACAAATAGGGAAGATAGCTAACCAGATACAGAGATAGACATAGGTGGTAGATAGATGTGTATATTATGATTATTTCCATGTTTCAGCTTCTACAAAGTGTATGGACTACAGCCCTGAATTGGCAGCAAGGGCTAGGATGTACCCTTGGCAGTGCATGTACTGTAAGACATGTTGCATGTGTAACGACTCAGAAGATTGGGTAAGTGTACATTTTGCGATTTATTTATTGTTTTGTTTGTTTGCTTTTGGCAAAGCTACTAAGGGTATCTGTCGCCGTCCTTAATCTGAAACTGCCAACCATGGGGAAGACAACTAGCCGGCAACACCCCCCCCCCCGCTAACTCTTGGGTTACTGCATGTCTACCAACGAATAGTGGAATTGACCGTTACATTATAACGCCTCCACAGCCGAAAGGACGAACATATTCTCCACCGAGTTTCAAGTACATTGCGAGTCGAGCACCATAACCATCAGTTGAGACTCTTCATCACACTACAAAAAATGATCCGGATCGTTGATCATTCTGGATCTGAAAAGAATTTTCTCAGTTTTCGAAAGTGAAATTTGACGTTATCCCAATATAAATGTATGCAATCTCGGGGCGAGAGTATGCAATGGTTTGTAATTATATATAATTATCTTTGTAGTTTTTTTATATGTTGTTTGTATCATATACTTATGGATCTAAGTGTAATTACATACTAAATAAAGTTCTGCGCCCCCCCCCCCGATAGCTTACCGGTAAGCTAGAGAGCTTACAACGCTAAAATTCGGGGTTTGATTTTCGCAATGTGCACAGCACAAGTAGCCCGCTGTGCAGCTTTATTCTGTACACCAAACAAACAAGTATTTCAGTAGGTGTTTATCAACAGAACCAGATGTAGCGTAATAGTGTGCTCTGGCTGTGAATCCAAGGGATCATGGCTCACATCCCGATGTCGCGAAAACGAACTCTGCACTTTGGAGTTGCGTGTGCGCTAGAAGAGAGGAGTTTAAATTCCACTATTCGATCAGATAAGAGTTGACGGTGGCTACTGTTGACTAGCTGCTTTCCCCTAGTCTTATGAAATGAAAATTAAAGATGCAGATAACTTTTCTGTTTGCGCAAAAATCCAAAAACAAATTCTATTAAAAATTACGAATCTGATCATACAAAATGTCAAAATACATTTTTTTTGTGCGAGACTGATTTGTTGTTAAGCGCAAAGTTACACAGTTACACGGTTTTTAGCGTTGTAAGTTTCAGACTTTTGTTTGTAGTTATGCACAAAGCTACACAATGGGCTATCTGTAATTTTGTGAGCATAAATTACACGGTTTTTAGCTTTGTAAGTTTCAGACTTTTGTTTGTAGTTATGCACAAAGCTACACAATGGGCTATCAGTAATTTTGTGAGCATAAACTAGTCTTTATGATTGACTTTCCACTTTTGTGAGTCTACTTGAGAAACTTCAGAAACGTTAATTATAAGTTAGTTGAACAGCGATATTTGTGTGTTTTGTATAAAGTACAATCGTCTTTGCTGTAGCGTAAAAATAAACTTTACTAAAGTAAATGAAAATTAATCTATTGACCAGCATTTCACCCTTAGTTGAGTGATCGCCAGGAGACATAAGGCTCTATCTAAAGGGCAAACTTCCTGAACGTTTACTGGCACTTTTGTTTTTATGCATTTATTTTAAGAAACAACTCTGGCTCATTAACATTAATCGTAACTTACATGAAAAACGGTAGTGTTTAGTTTGTGGAAGTAACCATTATTGATACCGTACATTATTTAATTTAACAAATCATTAATAATCAGCAAACGTAAACTCATACGTTCAGTATTCGTTAGAAGTGCCCCCGGCGGGAAAAATATAAGTACTCAGTACTCATTAGAATTTTTTATGATAAAAATCACTATTGTATAATATTATAATTTCATTTTCAATGCGAAATTATGAACTGAAGTTATTTTGTAACTTAAATGGCACAAAATATACTATTACATATATATTCATATACTCGTAAAGTTCAATTGTTATTTTTTCTTTCCTACTACAGGATACGATGTTAATCTGTGATGCTTGTGACAAAGGATTTCATATGAAATGTCACGTGCCTAAAGTTACCGAAGAACCAACAGGTACGTTTGATAAAATATATCATGTGAAATGTCACGTGCCTAAAGTTCCATACAAATTAACAGATATGTTTAACCAAAGCTAATTTAAGTAAAGTCACGTGATCAATGATACAGAAAAACGAACATTAATATGTTTGACTAAGGATATCCCGTGGAATGTCATAATCTAGACTCTAGAGCAACAGAAAATCTAACTGTTATGTTCTTCAAAGCATAAATAAGTGTATTACGTCAAATCACATGTCATTCTGTTAAAAAGAAGCACATTCAACAAATGATGTCATGAGAAATGTGTCACGAGTTTGCAAGAAGACATGTAAAAGGTATGTTTGAAAGATATGATCATATAAGATATCATGAACCAGAATTATGAAGGAACTAACAATTATGTCTTATAAAAGATCCTACGTAAATGTTTACATTTTCGAAGTTACGATAGTGTGTATATGGCAGAAAAGACATTTTATTTTTTAAATGATTTTTTCTAACAGTTACTTTACTGTTTGTGTACAAAAGGTAATCGTTCGAATGTCATGCACCATATCTTAAACCGTTATTCGACAAAAGTATGTATGTGTGTCCGCTTATAACTGGCGAACTGCTGGACCGACTGTCACCAAACCTGGCATGTACTCTTAAGAGTGACATAGTTTCGGCGTTCGGATCTTAACATGGCCTTCTAAATACTAGCAGGCCTAATACTAAGTACGGTGGCATCACAGGTGGGATGCTCGCAGTCGACAGCCAGTTCAATGTAATGTAACACTGGCTGGTTACGTCAACTGTGTGTGTACTACCCATGATTAATTAATTAAAACGTGCATTTAGTAATTCAGTTTACATAGCATGTATCTGTGATTTACACGCTTAATGGAATTATACACTAGTATGAGAAATTAATACTGGGAAGATTAGCCTACATGTAAGTAATGTTCACAGACAGCATTTACTGCAACTACACGTGAAAATGTACAGATGTAAACTGAAATAAACACATTTTGATCACATTTACATAAATTAATTTGAACACGATTTTAGTTACCGTATAAAATTGACAGCTTTCGCCGTGTTTCTAATGACTTTGTGGAATTCTTTTTGCCATTAACAAGTTTGGTATAATTGTTTAACATAGTGTTAGAGGCAAGTAATACACTTCTTGATACTAGCTCAGACACCACCATCCCAAACTCACGAACAACATCTGGTTTGTTCATAAGTTCAATGCTGGTTCCAGTGACAATTTTTCTCTAATTTTCTACAGCTAGATACTTTTGTTCTTGTTTTTTTCGAAACCAAACATTTGAATACAACGTAAATATTAGCAGCAATATCAGTAAGAAATGGTATAGACCATTTAAGACCGCTTCAGTCTGTATTTTTTGATATGGTAAAAATGTTCATCTAATTCCTCACCGTTTTCACAAAGCATTATATTTATCTAAGCAGAGTTATAACTTGCACGAGATTGTGGGAACAACTTTATGTGCTATGAACCAACAATAAAGATAATGCTTGCTGTATCTCTGTCATCAAGTTCAACATGCGGAAAATCATCCAGAACAGACGAAATCATTTTGCTCAAGTGATTTAACCACATCCTCTGTCATGACATCCTCACAATCAGCCATAAAGTGCAGCAAACAAAAATGACCACACCTTGTAGATTTCAAATTTCTTTCAGACATCTGTCTGTACTGAGAAAATCGAAACTAAGTTATCATTCTGAAACTTCCAAGTAGCACATAGTGGAGGTGATCTGATTCTAGCAATATTTAACAAGTAAGCGCGTGGTAACTGAAGTACAGTGTACGTCTAAAAGCAAAGTGTGTTCCTTTTAAGAGACATCCGCGCCTGGCTTTACGTTTCAACTTTCTCCCCAGTTGTCAAGCCAAGACACTAACCTCTCCATAAGCTCAAGCCTTTCGTCGTTAACAGACCGAAATGGATCACAGTCAGTGCCTCGTATGTTTCTTCATTTCAATGCCCCCAGTGGCACAGCGGTATGTCTGCAGACTTACAACGATAGAATCCGGATTTCGATACCCGTGGTGTCCAGAACATAGATAGCCCATTGTGTAGCTTTGTACTTAGTTGCAAACAAACAAAATTCATTTCAAAAAAATTTCCCACAGTTTCAAAATCATTTCAATGAACTTTTTGTATCAAACACAGTATCACTCAACTCTGAAAAAATTGAATAGCTGTAACTACTTTCTCATTGAACATTTTCTGTCACTCAGTGTTTCTTGGATACAGAGCCTTGTGAGTCAAATTTGGGGCTAATATAACTAATCATTTTTTTTCAAAACTATGCAATGTTTTCAAGTCTCCAATAGAAGCTTCGCGAATTACAATCTTGCCATCCATTTTAGGACATGTCAGTATTTGTTTGGAATCAGCTTCGTTAATCCAGTTATTTCGCACACATTTCTTTAATAAATGAACGCTAGCAAAAAAAAAAAAAAAAAAAAACAACAAGGCCAGGCTTTGAATCTACGTTTCGATTTATTCTGTTGTTATCAGACGTCATGCACGAGACTCTGTATCCTGCAATGAGCACAAGATGTAACACTTGTATAATAATCTCTTTCAAGTTTGCTGCATTTAAATTTACAAATGGAATGAGAGCAACCACATCTTTGTTTTTTAACTAATAAGAAGAAATTATATCTGCCTGCACTGTTATAGCTTGCTGCAATGAACCGTTTCTTGCAAACCCTTGGATACTGCCACCCTTGAAGCTAGTATTTGAGTGTAGTGAATCTCATGAAGCAACAGAGAAACATTTTTTTTTTTTGGTGGGGCTATAAATGTGCAGCATTATTCTCAAGTCAGTCAGGTGTGATAAGTCCACCGCTGGCCCGGCATGGCCAGGTGGTTAGGGCGCTCGACTCGCAATCTGAGGGTCGTGGTTTTAAATCCCCATCCTACCAAACATGCTCGCTTTTTCAGCCGTGAGGTATTACAATGTGACGGGCAATCCCACTATTCGTTGGTATAAGAGTAGCCCAAGAGTTGGCGGTGGGTGGTGATGACTAACTGCCTTCCCACTAGTCTTACAGATAGCCCTCGTGTAGCTTTGTGCGAAATTCAAAACAAACAATCAAACTAACTCTAAGTTATAACTGTTCCAGCAATAAATACAAATTAAACACATGCATATCATCAGTACCATTCATATCAGTAGTATCAAACAATTTTTGCAACAAATTAATTGCCTGAGACATCCTTGACTCATTTACAAGTGCATTTTATAATGGCTCAGAATAACGTCAAGCTCTGACCAACATTCTAATTTGTTACTAGAGGAAAGTACCCATAACAGACTAGTGCTGTCTACTTCTGTTCTGTCACAAAACACTCTCACACTCCAATCTGAGAGAATTTTAACAGAAACTCTAATCTTTGAACATTCCATAGTGCCAAAAATGCAGCAGCACACAGAAATGTCAGACTGTATTATCAACCAACCAGACTTGACTCCAACAGATTGTCAATCTCACCACAGTCAAAAGATGAGTTTTCGTCTCTTTCATGCCATTGCTGTAAGACTTATTCGTCCCGATGTCTGAATTTTCTTGTCTTTCTTCGAATGTTTTTCCTTTCTTTGATGACTGACGTGACAGATATGTGGGTAGGTTTGGAAAGATTGAAGGAAAGGTATCATCAATAAGTTTTGGAATTTTGCGTGGATCACAAAGTACTGATCCAGCTAAACGTTTCGCGCTGTTTTCAGTCACAATGCATTCCGAAACGAAATGTTAAATGCAGAACACAACATCATTAGTGAGTGTGAAATATTTTCATGGTATGCGATGTACTCACTTTACTCGGTTCTCAGTGTTCTCGGGGAAACGAAAGACAGTTGTGTATTCCTGTCCTCTGTACATTCATACATCCTGGTACCCAGCACTTCCGCTGCATTTTCTAAAAATTAAACATTTTAAAGATTGCATTAGCTATTTCTTGTAATTTATAATTTATTTAGAATAGAAAAATTATGAGAAAATATTATAAAATGTTATCTGATTGTATTGCAGTTAGCCTAGGCGTCACCTATATTGTGAAACAACAACTATAGTTTCAACACACATTAGTTAATAATTGCCAGTCAAAAACCATACTGGCATTATAATGTCGCCTACTAACCACTGTCAGTATTGTCTCTTACAAGCCTCTTTATCTTTTCTTACGGTTTTTGACCTAACATTAACACCATACTAGTATTGTGTGATCTATAGGCCTCGGGTTTAATACGTTAAGGGTTAGGAGTCGTGTAATAATACAGTTTAGGGTACTGTGATAGTCATATTCTGATATTGTAAATACAAAATAGGTCTAAAGTGATGTTGTGTTGACGATAGGTCTATTCGATAATAGACAGCATCAAAGTAGACTTGTCTGTTATTAAAATTTTGACATGAATTAGTACATACATGCAGTGTCTTGTAAAAGTATTCACCCCCCCCCCTGAAAAGTTTCCACATTTTGTTGTCATCTGAGCATGCAATCATGAAACTTTCAAATGCGACTTCATATTTGGAATGTACACAACCTACACCAAACTGAGAAAGATAAAAAACGCTGATAGTATGTAAATGAGTTAGATTTTCAAAGAAAATTAGAATATTCTCAATTGTATAAGTATTCAACCCCTTTTACGGCAACTTTAAATCAGTTCAGATACAAAAGATTAGTTTTAAAGGTCATAAAATTAGTGTAATATTCTTTTTCTGTGTGTAATCAAAGTGGTTTAACTTGAGTCCAGAGTAAATGCATCTGTTCAAGCCACAACTCACATAGTGATACGACAACCAACCATGAAGACCAAGGAAATTTCCAAACAAGTCAAGGATAAAGTGGTAGAGAAGCACAGAGCAGGAGAAGGTTACAAGAAAATCTCAAAGTCGCTGATTGTCCCTCTGAGTACGGTGAAGTCCATCATTAAGAAGCGGAATGTGCTTCATACCACCTAGTCACTACCCAGATCAGGCCGCCCTTCCAAACTAAGTAGCCATGCAAGCAGGAAACTGGTTAGGGATGCCACTGTGAAGCCAACAGTGACTTTGAAAGATTTGCAAAGTTCTGCGTCTGAGATAGGAGTCAGTATTCATACATCAACAATATCCCGGTCTCTACACAAAGCTGGCTAGTATGAGCGAGTGGCAAGAAAGAAACCATTATTGAAAAATAATCATCTGAAATCTCGTATAGAGTTTGCGACAAATCATGTAAATAATACCAACTGAAGACATGTGGCAGAATGTTTTGTGGGCAGACGAGACAAAAATTGCGCTTTTTGGTCTAAATTCAAAGTGTTACGTCTGGCAAAACCAAACATAGCACATCACCTGGTCAACGCCATCCCAACTGTCAAGCATGGTGGTGGCAGCATCATTTTACGGGGTTGCTTCTCATCAGCAGGGATTGGGAAGCTCGTTAGGATTGAGGGGAAGGTGTATGGTGCAAAGTAAAGGCGAATCCTATAGGAAAACCTATTTGAGTCAGCCAGGAATCTAAAACTGGGTCGACAATTCACATTTCAGCAAGACAATGACCCGAAGCACAAAGCGAAAGTCACACTGTAATGTTTTCAAAAGAATAAAGTGAATGTCCTGGAGTGGCCCAGTCAAAGTCAAACTTGAATCTACTGGAAAATTTATTGTGAGACTTGAAGATTGCAGTCCATCGACGATCTCCAATGAACTTGTCAGAATTGGAGCCATTTTGCCAAGAAGAATGGGCAAAAAATACACCATTCCATTGTGCAAAGCTATCCAAAAAAGATTCACAGCAGTAATTGTTGCCAAAGGTGCTTCCACCAAGTACTGGGTTAGGGAGCTGAAAACTTATGCAATCAGCAAATTTCAATTTATATATTTTCTTTGCAGGTTTTGCTGACATTCAACCTCCTTCACACATAACAGTGTTAAGTTTGATCATTAGAGTTTTGAATAAAAACAAGTTCATTAAAACATTCTTTACATTAATTGTATTTCATCAAAATGTGACATTATTGATAGGGGGTGAATACTTTTGCAAGGCACTGTTGATCTCAGTATTACAGTATACATCATCAAAGATATTAAAACAGACGTACTAATCTTTATTATGAAAAACTGCACAACTCTTAATATTTTTTAATCCAAACATTCAAACTTCCAACGAATGAGCTGCAGCTGAGCTCCCGTCTGTGAAGTCACAGCTATGGATCAGCGCTTAGTATCAGGCTTGCTAATATTTAGAAAGCCATGATCTGGACCTCATTGTCACCCCAAGGGGATCTTATATCCTCCCCTTGCACTGAACCAGTGCAACAGCTAGTATTTTATATTTTGAAATATTTTCGTCTTATCTCGGGTCTGTCAGCCGCTATCATCTTCACTCTTCCTGCCGAAAATAAATATATACAGTATACATTACATTCAAACCCTATACACACGCTAAGTACAACTTATCAACTTTAAGTATTCTTAAGTACAATTGTTGTTTTATGTGATATTATGTTTTTTCATTGAAATACAAACAAAGCAGGATAAAATGTGTTAACATTTACCGGACCCCTTTAGCAACTGGCAGTATTGCCTATAACTATGCAAGTAAATTAACTGATTAATTTAGTCTGTTAATATACTGCTTTTAATCCTTATCAATTTATTTTTCAATAAATGAAATATTTTAGAATTATTTTTATTTAACTGAAAAAGTTTTAGTTACAGTAACACCTTTCAAAACAATTATCAGTAAATTTTGAACCGTAATTCTAAGAACTTATGGGAGAGGGCAGAGAAGCATATTTAATGATATATCAACCATATTACATCTGCCTGAAATTGAGTTAACTGCTAATTTAAAGTTTAGTAGTTAAATTGTACTTTGGATTTAGGAGTTATATTTTCAATATACAAACAATAATACAATTTACAATAACAGTTATTACAAACAATGATTTATAAACAAAAGTTTCACAAACTTACAAGCAATATAAAGTCTTCTTTCTAGTCTGGAACTTCCTTGATATATTATCGAGGGTTCACGATGAGCGAGTTAATTACGAGTTGATGTAGGTACGATTCGCTTAACGGGAAGCTAGCTAGCTTTGTCCTTCGTTATTTATCAGCCACACACACCGGGTTTTCCACGGTAACGTTATGTAATGTTTTCGTAAAAATACTAATGTCCCATGAGATTCCACTGAAGTTAAATGAGCTGTAATGTTCGAACTTTGTAAATGCTCCTGGTCAAATATCTGAAGTTTTCCAACTGATAAGCATTATAACAATCACAGTTATGGCTTCCAAAGTTTATAGCACACTGACTATAGCAAACTAATAATAGATACTCTTTTTTGGCGCGGCGCGTTGATTATATTTATAGACGTATGGAGATTTTCTAGAAAATTCAGGTTACGTAACAATACAAATTTAAGCGTTTACATACATACATATATTGTTGATTCTTACTCTCAAGAATCTTCTACAACTTTGGAGAATAGGCGGGAGTTTCGCAATACATATTTATCAATATAAGCTATGCATTTTTCTGAATAGAAACTTAATCTAAACAAACGCTGATATTAAAATAAATATATAATAATAAATACATCACAGCAGTGACGACGATGCTTTTTACTCAGTACCAGAGCACTTCAGGCCGGCTGAGATGTGATACACACGGAGTGGAATATTCGATCATTGATAATTTATAAAGCTTTACATATAATCCTCTTAGATTTGAACTCGGGTACAAAAAAAGAAGTGAAATGAAAAAGGTGCACTGTATACTAACGTATTAGATCGTCAAGGAATTACTGTCGCGTTTTGGAACATTTTCATTAACCACCCCCCAGAAAACGTACGTCAGGTATAACAGTTAAAAGAACTCCTAAAAGTCACGTTAGTGTAGCTTATATAATGTGTAAAGTTTAGTGTACTCTAATTCCTTATAGTGATGGCACACTACGAGACACACATTCTGCATGTAATGCTGTTTTAATAAAAGAAGGGAAACAACGCCTCTGTAGCCACAAAGAATATCAAAGGCGTTTATGGAAATGTTTGTAAGTGTCAACGATGGTTCAGCAAATTTCGTTCAAGTGAACTTAGCCTTAAAAACTGTGATTGCAGGGGCCGACATGTTGGAATTGATATTGATGCTCTGAAGACGTTTGTTGAGTCCAACCCAAGACAACAAACTCGTGAAATGACCCTGAAATTGCACGTGTCTCATGAAACAATACGTAAATATCTAAGGAATATGAGAAAACTCTATAAAGAAGGGGTTTGGGTATTTCTCGAACTCTCCGATGACCATCGTTTCCAAAGTGTGAACGTTGCTTCGTCTCTTCTGGTGCGTAATGCGCATGAACCATTTTGGTCAGAATTGTCACCTGTGATGAAAAATGGATTCTCTATGGGAATATTAAACGCCAAAAACAATGGCTCAGTTCTAGACAAAAACCACTTCCGACCCCAAAACCTGGACTCCATCCGCAGAAAGTGATGCTTTGTATTTGATGGGACATCAAAGGAGTAATTCATTTCGAACCCCTCAATCCACAGCGAACTGTTAATGCAAAGATCTACAGTTAGCAACTGGAACGTTAAAATCAAGCCCTTTACTCGCAGTCGGAAATGTGTTCTTCTTTCTCCACGACAACGCACATGTGGCACGTTTGACGCAACACGAGATTGTGGAGTTGGGTTGGGGAGTTCTCCCCCACTCACCATATTCTCCAGATATGGCACCATCAGATTACTATCTTCTTTGTTCGCTGCAACACCATCTTAATGGGAAAACTTATGATGAAAATGTGGAAGGTGTTAAAGAGGACATCGACATGTTTTTTGCTTCAAAGCCAAGTGATTTCTTCAATCGGGACATTAACAATCTGATTGTAAGATGGGAAGCATCATCGATAAGAACAGAGACTATTTCATTTAATAAATGATTTGTTTTGATATATAAGTTGTTCGGGTTTTTTTCATTTAAAAAAAAAGTGATTAATATCTTGACGACCTAATTCACTCTAAAGTAAAATTAAAAGTTTTAGGTAAACAAATTATATTTATAAATACATTCTTTTCTTTTACAAAATCTTTCGTATGGACCATAAGACCGCGAACTTAAAATTTCCGTTATACTGCTAATCCAGTACATTCTTGTTCAAACACTTTTGTCAAATTATAATGTGATTTCATATTTTAGGAACATGGATATGTCAACAGTGCATGAACGAAGAACAAACACAAGGAAGTGCAGGAATCGTGGATGAGAGATCTGTGCTTAGTAATGAACTGCCAGAAAAACTGGGTAAGCAAAATAAAATTTGAAGCAGTGTGACTTTTAAGTTGTTTTTATCACTAAATCGTTATGGCTTTTCATTTGAAACTTCCTAAAAATACACAGGTGTTTTTATAGTTTTGTATACAGTTTATTGCATGAAGGTCAGAATCGATTTCATTTCTAAACATACCTGAATAGAAAAATAAATATATTAAACCTGAAAACAAAAAAGGGAAAACTTATGCTACAAAAAATGACAAATGATAAATAGATATTTTAATGTACGTATGTATACACAAAGAAAAGTGTGAGTTCCTGTATAAATATGTATGTATATATGCAGGTATGTGCACGTAGACACATACACACCGAGTTATAAAAAAGAAAATTGCTAATTACCTGCAGATGAATGGTTACAAACCGATATATATATATATATATATATATAATAATTAATTTATTATTATTTCTTTTTATTAGTTTTATAACATTATTTGTTTTCATAGTTAGACTCCAGAGTACTAGCTCTTTTTTTCGAACTATAGAAACGTAATGTTGCCTCCCAAGAATGCTCTGCACCTTATTTGCCTGTTATTATCATTGACATATTTTTTAAAAACTTTTAAATTGAAAATTCAAATTTTAATTATTATCTATATTTATAATGATATATGTGGACACACATATATATATAGTAATATTATTCTAGTTTCAGAATAATATTAATTTGCTAGTGATCCACGTGTTGTAAATTTGTTGTGTGATGCAAATACTTTCGAACGATTTTATATCTGATAATTCTTTGCAGTATCAAACCTGTTACATAAAAGTTTAAAATCACCAGAGGAAGCACGTCCAGGCTCAAAACTTTGTGAACTTTAAAGCATCTATATTTCATTAGCCATTTTTTGTGATATGTTTTTCACTTTGTTTTCGATTTAATCACACCAGTGGTTTTTGTCTGACTTTTTATAATAAACTTTAGTTTGTTAAAGATATTTTAGTTTGGTGATTTATGTACGTTTCATAGTACCAGAGACCCCAGCTAATGATTATCGATCTTGTTACTTAATGTAAGTATACATATTTCATACTTTCACGTATAAAGTCACTTTTTTCACCCTAAATGTTTGCCAAAATATAATTCGCTAAGGAGTCAAGAGATGGCGATATCTGTCATGATGATGTTTGTGTTGGTTAAAATGCGAAATCAGTTTATAGTCAGTTTAATCACTAATATTATATATGCACATTTTTAATCTAAGACTGCCGTTTCTTGATAAAACTTAATATAAAACTGACGGCTTCTAATAAAAATTCACCCATAAACAGTTTAATTTTGACAATTTTAAGACTTGGGTTTTCGGTCAGTTTTTTTTCCTTTTTTAAAGCTTATGCTGAAACAGGGCAGCCCACACCTTATGGTTTCCCAGTCCCTGATGACGAACCTAGCACAAATCATATCGATGCTTTGAACCAAAAGTAAGAAAATGCATTTAGAAAGTTGATTTTATAGTGAAACTCATATTTCATTAAAATTTTAAATTTCGACTCAACCCTCTAGATCAGCTGTTCTCAAACTTTAGTAACCCAAAGTTCCTTTTAAATTTAAAATTATTTTGCACCCCCAAACCTATTGATGTTTTTGTTTTGAAAAACTATACTGTGTATATGAAAAGCTGTATTCCATAATTAAATGTTTTAATTCGTATAAATTTGCCCCCTAGTGGCACAGCGGTATGTCTGCGGACTTACAACGCTATAATCCGGGTTTCGATACCCGCGGTGGGCAGAGCACAGATAGCTCATTGTGTAGCTTTGTGCTTAATTACAAACACACATTTAACTTTACGAAAAATATTTTTTATTCTATAGATCATATTTAAAAAAAATATTTTTGTGAAAGTTTGGTCATGACTCGCGGACCAAAGTTTGAGAAGCGCTGCTCTATGTAGTATAAATAAATTTTGAAGTATGTAAAAGTATAATATACATGCACTTATTCGAGTGTATAATTTCTATTCATTACCTTATATCAATCTTGAATACTTTTTTATCTATTTTAGGAAGAGAGTTTGTGTTTTTAGTATTTTTGTTAGATTATAAGGCTGTTCTGCGGTGTTAATGAATATGTCATCTAATTTAACTGCTGTGGAGCACATATATGTCGCCTTCTAGAACACTACTATGTAATTCTGGAATTTTCTAACACCATGAACAAACGATATCCCCATTCAATATTCTCAGAGTTTACCAGTTTCATATAATAATGAAATATTAAAACATGTGTCTTTTTGTTTTTGTCATCTAAATAAAACCTGGCAGTTTGAGAGTTGTTTTTCTATAAACATGGTAATAAAAGAGTTAAAGGTGTCATCATTCCGTGAACGACGTCTGCCCTTTATTAGCTGCATGTTATATCAGAAGAGACAAATTTTTAACTTTCTACTTAAAGTAATCATAAACATAACCTTGAAAAGAATAAGGTATTTTATTAGGTTTTGCATTGTACATTTTTAATATTTAGTAATAAATATGTGTAGGTATGATCAATTATTATTATTTGTAAAAGTATTAGTATTACCACATGAAATGTTGCTGAGAAACAACAACAATAACAAAAACACATTTTTGTGTATTAAAAAATATTGTATAAAATGTAAAACTTATCATTTACGTTATTTAATTTAAAAAACATTATCAGCTTCCTTAAGCACTATGAAACTCTGAAGGGTAAATAGTAATATTCTATAAGTATCTAAGGGTGTGAATTTAATGTTTTTGATTTCACCAAGTACTCAAGTCATTCAATCACATAAGCTTGCCTAATCTCATTCAGTTACACAATGTTCTTCACAAATATATTTTGTTTTCACGAATGATAACTAAAGAGGGCGCAGTTTTGGAGTGTATAATATTGACGCAATGAAACTTCAACAGAATAGATTTGATTCAATGTCATCTGTTTCCTCAAGTAGTTGTTTCGAGAGATATCCAGAGATTATTCCGGATGCTAAAGACTGGACTATTGATGACGTAGAGAAATTTTTCACTCAGATTGGATTTCCTGAACAAGCTCCCGCGTTTCGAGAGCAGGTAAGCCTAACTAGGTGTTAACTTGTTTAGTCTGCTTAGATGCTGTTATCTTTACTGTAACACTAACAGTGTAAATATAACTTGTAAGCGCAGATAGTCTACAACAATCACTGGAATTGAAAAGACGGTGAAAAACACATTGACAGATGGCGCTACTAATGTAAATTTGTACAAATCACGTGCTTAGTAAGTACTTTGAAAAATTTCAAAATTAAAATAAGTGATAGCAGAAATTACAATTCTGATGTTAAATTTCGTGTATCCTGAACCTTCAAGGACAGCTAACAATTTGAGAGTTGTGTTTAACCTTTTAAAAATATAAAACTCGTGTAATCAGATGTGGTATTGATTAGTAATTGACTTAATCTTCCAACTTACTAATATTAATAATATACATGATACTATGAGTAAGATAAAGTTTTAGAGAAGCTATAAAAGTATCATAATGCCTAAAGTGGTTCAGAAATTATTAAAAAGTTGTATATATATTATTGTAAGCTATATTTTAACTTAAATGTTTATTTGCTAGAGGAAGCCATCCATAATGATGGTGTCATATATCCAGAAAATTCATAAAAATTAAGGTCTCTGTCTGGAAAATGAGAAAAATAATTCTTTATTTATTTATTCACCATATGTATATGAATTTACAAGTTTTTTTATTCACTTCACAATTTCACACTACTTATTACACCTAATTTTCAATTCTAAAAAAAGTTGCCAGGTTTGTCAGCAGCTTTAATTAAAATCTCTAGATACCTACCCTGTAGCTAAATATTGAAAATAGTTGTTACCATGGTGTGTGGCTTTTTGGATATTGGACTTGGCAGTTCTCACTCAGGTTATCAAAGAGACTGACACAGTTTTCCAGACATCCCATGAGACAGCATGGTTGGAGTCAACCAAAATTTACTATTATGAAGTACATATAGCTGTGGCAGCTTGCCTGTTCTCTTGACTGCAATGGCAAAACTTTGAAGGTGGGTCCATCATCCCTTGATTTTGACCCCCCCCCCAGAAATCTAGTAATTTTGGGAAGTACTTAAAAATAAAAATAAAGGAACAGTATGAACACAGGATCCAGGAAGCAGTCAGTTAATGAATTAGTAAGTGATCAATGAGTGATTCAGTTCATTGTTGATAGTAAAACTTGTGTCTATTAGTAAGGAAATTGCATAAGCAAGTTTATTTATAAGTTAGGCATAGGTACCATTAGTATAGTAGTTTCTATTGAAATGGTGTTTGTGAACTGAGGCCTATAACTTGCATCATAGCATGTGGCAAATGTTAATAATAAAGTTTGAAAAAATTACCTTTACACACCAAATAATTATAAGAGAACTTTTACTTTAACCAGCATTTTGTCTTTGTAGCAAACTTCTTCAGGGCTAGTATATAATACAGTTTTATGTATTATCCTTAAAGAAGCCACAAAGGCAAAATGGCAGTTGAAAAGTAGGGGGTTTTGGTGATTTTTAACTAATGAAAATAACAAAGAATTCACACACCACTGGATTCCACAGTCAAAAATTGGTAGATTTACACTGCAAGTTCAATTATATAGTTTAATAATTAATGAAAAATTATCAAAAATTATACTTGTAAATTGACCTTCCCGCTGGAACAATGTTAACAAAATGTTGGTGATTGATATCAAATTATCACTTTACCTGGTTAATGAGGCTATATGAAACCCATGTCAAGGCAAGATAAAATAATGCCCCAATAAAATTCATCAATTTAAAACTCATACACATGGATTCATATTATATGGATAAATGAAATTAAAACTCTCAACAATCAAATGTTAAAAATGAAGTACGAGCTTACCTATGTACCTATGAAAGTATAGGAGAGATTTTGTAATCACATTAATTGTAAACTTGAAATATGAGCTTACCTATGAAAGTATAGGAGATATTTTGTAATCACATTAATTGTAAACTTGAAATACTGTGATTGAAAGATATGTACTAGTAGTAACCTCCACCTATATCATGTCAGGGTGTAATTTATAAATCCTTATTACCACTTTTATCATAGACTATTATAGTGCATGTTCTTTTGCTCTAGCCACACCTGATTGTGTGATGTATAGCAAACTGTTATCAGGACAACATATTGCCTGTTTTAGTCCAATGATATGAAATAAATCAAGTTGTTGCCAAGCCAACATATAGTGTAATAATGAAGATGGTTGATAAAACACAAAACATTTTATTTACAAGGTTCCAACATTTCGGAATACACTCATTCCACCTTCAGTGAAATCTGAAAATCATGTTAGAAAGATGATTATTAACTAAAACTATAATATCATAATCACTAGTTCACTTAGTTATTAAGAGAAGTGGTAAATGGAAGGATAAGACAAAAACAAAGGATTATAGATATATTGCACAACAGTTGAGTTTTAAGTGGGAAAACTTAGAACAATTTTAGAGCTAAAAAACTTTGTTAGTCATTAAGAGTCAAGCAGTCCTTAGCTATGAGTAAACTTTCTTTAATGTAGAGTTCAAGCTCTGAAGATCCTGTGTTAATAACAGAGAAATTGTTGTATGAAAGATTGTGACCCATGGTTTTAGAATGTGAACGAATGGATGAGTGGCTGGGTTTATGTAGTGGACGGTCAGTTCTGTTAGATACTCCTAAATGTTCACAGACTCTAGTTTTTCAGTGGTGTTTTGTTTTGCTAATGTCACTACACATATAGTTATACACTAGCCATGAGCGTAGAAGTTTGGGTAGTTGATCGCTGTATTGAAATAAATTTTTAATGTGGAGGCTAGGTCTGTATATTAGTCTGAGCTGAATTTGAGGGTGGAAGTTTTTTATTAGAGAGAAGAGTTGTGCACACCCTCCCCAAATTTCCCCTTATTATCTGTATACAAAATGAGCATTTAATAAATTTAACTGTGTAAATTATATCTTCAGTTTTATATATAATCAAGCTAACAACATTTTTTTGTGCCTTGCGTGATTTTGTAAGGTAATTTGTAATTAGAACCTTACTGTTATATTCAGCAGATGGCTAGTTACATCTGCTATAAGACTTGGAAGTAAAGTGTTATGTAAGATTACCATTGGTCTAGGAAAGAAGTATGTGAGATCTTTATTAGTCAAAAATCAGTATGCATATGTGTAAAATTTGAAACAATATATTTCCCAATATATTAAACTGAAATTTTAAAAGTGGTTTTAAATTTCTGAGATTTGACATATAATGACACCTCTGTCACAAGAGACAAGGCATTTTTAACTTTTAATCAACAGTATAAAGTTTAAAGAAGTTTTATTATGTCTTACATAGTACATTTTAATGTTTAGTAACAAATAGTTGTAGGTATGGTCATATGTTAGGCTTTTTGTGTATCTGTTCAAATTCTTCAAAAAATTAAATTTAAATTCATTTCTTCCCAGAGAAAACATTTAGTATCTAAACTAAGCTTAATCTAAAATTACATCCTGTTAGAAGACAGCACATTCACCTTTTTTCTTTTAATATAAGTAATAAACATTTAATATACATCAGTTTCACAATTTCTGGGTACTTGTAGCTGAAAAACAAATGTACATTCTCTCCTTTCACTATATCTATGTGACACCTGAATGAGCCTTAAGTAAGATTTTTCAACTAGATCTTGTACTACATGGTCTGGATTACAACCAGCACTTACAAATTGAAAAGATGATGTAACTAGCTGAACTTTATTGGTTTGAAAAATAGAAGAATTTATCTTCAAATGTTTAGCAATTGACAAAATGCCAAGTTCAGGATATAGAGCATGTAAAATCGTAAGTTAGTTGTTACAGAGGGAAAAGTGGCAATATTTAGTTATCTTTGGTAATGTAGACGAAAAGTAACAATATGATTTCTCTTTAGTAACATATAAAATCATAATCTGGTTGTAACCATGGTGAAATGTGTCGATATGATTTCTCTTTAGTAACATATAAAATCCTAATCTGTGTAATTGATACTTGAAACTGTCGGTACTTGGTGAAACTCCATAATTACAGAATTGAGGAAAAATGAAACAATTGTACATCTCACAAATACATCATTTATTCATAACCATGGTTTTGCCAATAAAGGCATGATCAGGTACAGACTGAAATGTTTTGTAACAGATTTATATGTGTTTAAACAAAGAACCAGAAGTGACTGACATTCACCTAGAGGCAAGTGGGGTAAGAAATGAAGAGAAGCTTAAGTTGGTTTGGTTGTTTAGAGCTTTTTCTGGATTTGTTTTAATACTTAGTTTCAAAGGTTGAATCCATTTTCCTTAATTTCCAGCTTCTAGTATTTTCTTTAATTCTCATTTCTATGAAATGTCCTGTTTGACTTATGAATACGCTATTGCAGTCCTGACATGTTAATTGGTAAACTCCACTGTTGCTGTACTTTTGATTCTGTCTTTGTTGTTGCATAACATTTTTCCTAGGTTTTTTTTACAGTTACATACGTTTGGTTTAAACATATATATGTTTAAATATTACAAAACATTTTAGTCTGTACCTGATGATGCCTTTACTGGTGAAACCATGGTCATGAATAAATTATGTACTTATGAAACGTACAATTGTTTTTCCTCAAATCTGTAGTCATAATCTAGCTGTTTGATAATTTTTCCTTAGTTTTTCCTCTTAATCATCTATGAAATAGTGTATAAGTAAGGTTGACTAAAGTAACAGTTTTCTATGGAACATGTAACATATAAATAGATGCAGTATTTAATTTCTTAATTTTTGTACGGATTATTCTATTTAGAAATTACAATGTAATACAGTTTCTTCTGAACATTTGTTTAATTGATTTCACCTTCCACATCAAAAAGGTTTTGGTTTCTTGATATTTTGAATGCTGTATATAATAGGGTTTTAATTAGATTTTCTATAAAGATTGAAACTTTCAAAATGTAAGTAAAGTTCAATGAAAGTGTTTTTATGATAAACACATGTAGTTGTAATCACGAAAAAAGTGTCAACATGAGTTGTCTTTAGTAACATAGTAAGCCAAATCTAGTTGAATAATTCCACCTTAGTTTGTTAGTCTCTTACCATTCACTTAACAAGATGTATGCACTGTCACCACATTTTCAATTGTGAATATGTAAAGAAAAATGAACAAAGATGAAACATGTCAATATGAGTTCACTTTAGTAACATATAAAATCATAATTTAGTTGTAACGAAGGTGAAAAATTATAATATGTATTTCCTTTAGTAATGTATAGTAAAAGTGGCAGTATGAGTCCTCTCTAGTAACTTAGACAAGCTGAATCTAATTCTACCCAAAACAAAAGTCTCGGTATGAGTTCTAGTCAGTAACATTAAATCATAATGTAGTTGTAATCTAGTTGAAAAGTGTCAATAAGAATTCTCCTTAATAACACATAAAATCCTAATCTGGTTGTAACCATGGTGAAAAGTGTTGATATGATTTCTGTTTAGTAACATATAAAATCATAATCTGGTTGTAACCATGGTGAAAAGTGTCAATATGATTTCTCTTTAGCAATATATAAAATCATAATCTAGTTGACATAAAAGTTAAAGTGAGAATACAAGTTTAGTTTGGCTTTTAATAACATATAAAACTCTAATTCAGTTGTTACCAATGTTAAAAGTATCAAAATGAGCCATTTTTGACAATAATTAAAATTCTGATCTCTTTGTTACTAGCTTAAAAGAGTAAAATCAAAAGTTTTCCTTCATAACATACAAACTATCTAGTTTTTATAAAGGTGGAGCATGTTGGCAGAGTTCAGTGTAATGATATATTCGTAGAGTGCAAATATAATAATTTATATGTACATATTTTTCTAAACAATCGTTCAGTACCACTGCAGAAAAGAATTAGGAACTTTATATTTTATACTTTTTTTTCTTAGTGAAGTTAAAGGAATTTTTTTTTTATAAACTAAAGTTTTCAATTTCTGTTTGGTCAACTTGCTTGTAAAATGTCCAGTCTCTGATGTAGAGATTTGTTTAACTACAATGTGATTATCTATTAGTGTCTGTAACAGAGCTTTGAAATGATTTTCTAAATCAAAAACATTTTTATTACAAGACACTTGCCTACAGTAAATGTTTACTATAACCTACAGCTTGTTTTAGTGAAATTGGTGATAAGATTAAAGAAATCAGTGAAATTCATATACACTTCTGTTAAAACTACTAATTTTGTATTTGTTTGCTTCAGGAAATTGATGGAAAATCACTGTTACTAATGAAAAGAAGTGATGTATTGACTGGACTGTCAATAAAACTTGGTCCAGCACTGAAAATCTACAATCATGTGAAACGTCTTCAGACTGGACTTACAAATGGCCACCTTCTTTAGCAGTAGCCATATAATTGCCATTCAAATAATTTTTTTGCTTGTTGTTTTGTGCAATTTCTTATTGAGTATCATTCCACAGTCCTGGTATGAAGCTTCTCAGTACTTGTACAGTATATTTATCAATACCTGTAGCAAGTCACCATTACTAACTATACCAATTTGTCTGATTCTTAACTAATTAGATGATTTATTAGTTAGAACTACAATCATGGACTCTTCTCCTACCAGACCTTTTTGTTCTCTGAGTTTGTAAATGATGTCATTACATTAGTTCTTGTCGTGTTAAATTTATTGAAATATTAAATGTTTCTTTTTGCTCGTTTTTATTACTTAAATTTTGATAAGTTATTTTATGAGTTGGATATCTAAATTCTCACGAGATGGTGTGTATGGTATAAATAAATAAAATGTTGATTTATTTCCTAACAAGATAAGTGTGAAAGATATATATTTTGAAATTTAAAATTTCTGAGTTAATACTACATCATATTGTCTGACAGGTAATGAATGATTTTCAATGTATATGCATGTATTTAGTAGCCTGTTTTCTTAGATTATGGTGGAAAGTTAGGCATTTCTATGTTAGTTGTTATTTATGAATCTACTGTATAGAATGTATTACCAGATTTATTGTCCAACTTGAATGGTGTTATAAGCTGATAGGTGTGTTATCACTGTATAAACTTATCTATATTGAGATTCAAAACCTTTTTTGTTTCTGGATGGGTTACTGAATAGTCGAGAGAAATCTAAAGTGAATATATATATTTGTTGAAAGTTCAAGAGATATTAGTGTTGTTTCAGAGAAAAGTAAAATTATTTTAGTAATTGAATTGTAGAGCTATATTAAATAAAGAAAAGGTTTGATTTATTTTTCAAATATAAAAAAAAGCAAAAACAAAGGTTCATGAGCTTATAATTTTGTGAGAAATGTTTGTCAAACATTACATTTTCTATAAATTTGTACTTTCCTGTTTACTTCAAAATTATATTCCTGAGTAATGAATAGTTGGAATATTTTAGGTACGTGATAATAAATGTGTGTTTTTTCATTTCATCAGTACTTCGTTCATGTAGATTTCAAGACCTAGGTCCTGAATTTATATATGCACTTAAATAGTTCCTGTTGAAATTACTCTATAAACATACACAAGACTGTCTGCCGAATTGTTACTCATACTTAAGTGGTACTTAATAAGTTGGAACTATCTGATATAAACATTCATAGTATAGAGTATTTGCATAAATAAATGGCACATTAAAACGTGTTGGTTTTTCGCTCCCATATACACACGGAAGACCGACTTTTGTATTAAGTGTATTATTATTATTTGAAACTTTAATTTGAAAAAAAAATTTTTTTCTTATTTAAAGTTATTAGTTTTTTCTCAAAGTTAATTTGATAATTCGGAAAGAAATATCGAAAAAATATATAAAATGAACTCTAATTTGAATGTGCTGTTTCCCATCTCTCAGGTTGAAATCACGAACAGAATGAACTTATCAGAAAATCCATAGCTTGTGGAATATGAAAATGTAAACAAAAAATAAGAGTACCTTTTCTTTCTATCAAAAACAGCAAAAAGAAAAAGGAAATAAATACTGATTGAGGTAGATTGTACCATTAGATAACACTACTACCATTGAATCATCTATTTCGCCTTTTGTCAATTACATATACTTAAAATCGAGAAAAGATGTTGAATAAAAAAAAAGCGAGATAAGTGATTGTAATTTTTTTATTTAACTATCATGTGACGTTATTACTACCACAAAATGAAAAGTACAGGATAGAAAAACACTTTGTGTGATTTATATATAATCCACTGTTTTTGATAAAAATTAATATAATACAGGCCTAACAGTACAATTTAATGGAATCAATTTGTTTGTTTTTTACTGAAAAACAAAAATAAGATTAGCCATTAATTTTTACAGCATTCAAAAAAGCTTGGAAAGTTTACTGACTTCAGTGCCCCACCATCTAGAGTTTATATTAAAATTTTCTAAGTGCAATTTGATTATTTCCGCCAGACCATCTGTCAGTGTTTAGCAGGTCGCTTTATTTACTTTCCGAGATAAGCACATAGCAGCAATTCCGTCTTTGTTCGTAATTTCAACTTGGATGCTCGTAAACAACGCCGAAGACGAATAGGGCGTCAGTCTGTGCAAACTAGGGCTCACTTAACCAAGTAGAATAGTGATAAGGGAAACTACTAGCGCCGTCTAGTGAAAATATAGCAAGAATATAATATAAATTCATTTATCGTAAAGCAGTCAAGATTTTAGAAATAATAATTTTTAACAATACTTAAGGGCTTAACAGTATATCTATCAAAAAAGATGCTAAGAGTTTTAAAATACTTCAATTTTTACGAGGATAAAAGAATAATCCCATTCAGTTTTCAGTTACGTGTCTTCATGAGATATTAAAATGTTTTAAAATTACAGAAGCTCTTCCTTCTTTCGTATTGGAAACCCTAGCAAAAGATACTTTACTTATGGATAATTATTGAAAAATGAAGTGGTCTTAAAAGCAAATATCTGTATTGTCAGGACGATTTAAATTAAGGAAAACAATTGTAGAGGAAAACTATGATTAAGGTATCAGTAACAGCTAAGTGTAGATTATACAATGTGTTGTTAAGCACAAATCTACACACTGAACTATCTGTGCTGTTGCCAACACGGGTATCAAAACCCGGTTTTTAGTCTCATAAGCCTTCAGTCCTACCCCTGAACCACTAGGGACTTAAACCTAAATAGAACTAAGTAAGAAATATATCAATTGATTGAAGCAATTGCACAGTAATTAAGCTGCATTATAAAGTAAAAAGCCATGAACGAGGTAATAATTGCCAATAATTAATAAATACCATAAAACAGATTCAACTGAAACGATTAACAATCAGGGACTTAAGTCAAGATTCAGAAACGTCAGGCATAATAGTACAGCAAAGAACTATGTAGAGGCACCTAGACACAGAAGATTTATATGTAGGTAGACCTCGCTGAAAACCACTTTTAAACAAAACTCATACTTACTAAGAAATATGAACAGGACTCTGAAGCATTCTTCCACAAAATTATCTGCTCAATGAGACTAAAATAGAACTTTTCCCTAAATCTGACCACAATATGTTTAAAGAAAGCAAAAAGGGAAAGCCTTGAATGAATAATACCATATATCTACACTTAAATATGGAAGTGGTTTGTTAGACATACACTACTGCTTAAGTTTAATGCGAGTGTTATGATTCAGATAGACGGGGAAAAAAAGACAATTATATAAAGCTGTGGATATAATTGTGATAATCAACAGTGCAACAAACATTTGTATATACTATACGCGTAAGACTTATTATTTAATTATATTTTAAAATAAGTGGACTGTGTGCTGTTTATTATTGGAATTTATTGCTAACAAGTCACAGACACCTACTATAAAGAATCCGGATCACACATAAAACCCGACATGGTTCAAAAATGATACGAGGTGTTTTAGCAATGCAAAAATTGGAGACATTTATGTGATTGAAGCAGCCATGTATCAAAATATTCTACACAGTACAGTAACACCATCTGTTCATACACCGATTGACAGGTTTACCTCCCCATATGATAATGACCTAAAGCATATGACTAAGTCAACTCTGGAATTCACAGTGAAATTGAAGATAAAAGTTCAGGCATCGCCCAACACAATTACTAGATCTTAATCAAATGGAAATAATATGGACTAATCTGTAAAAAATGTAGCCAAGCAATGTGTGTCAAATCTTTCTGAGCTGAAGGAAATATGCAAGATAGAATGGGCTCAGATTTCTCCAAAAAATGTGATGCACTGGCGAGAATTATCATAAACGTCTGAAAGCTGGATTAAATGGAAAACATAAAATACCAAAGCAGAGGTGCCAATACTTGGGACTTGATTAAATACTCTTAATGAAATGTTTTTTGATGCAGATTATTTGTTAAATGTCGAGAATGTACTTTCCATTTATTATTTGATTGAAAGTGATTATAATTTACTAAATGCTCATCCTTAAAATATTAATTTCAAATATAGTTTAATAAGCATAGGATGCCAATAATCTTGTGTGCGACTGTATATTCTATCTTCTCCCTTAATGGTGGATTAAAACGGTTTTTTGCGAGTTTTTTCTCACCTTGGAATTCTATACTCTGTGTTCTAGCAAACGTGGAACACTTGTTATGTGTACTAAGAAGTGATGTCTGTGAATCTGTTTGTTTGCCTTTGACATAAATTTTCCAGCTTTCAAACCTCTAATCACTAGTACGCTCCTGAGGAATTCTAAAACTTATTTTCTCATATTTACTAGTATGACAACCATTTCAATTTCCCCCCTTAGGAGAGTCGAATGACACACCCACACCTTCCTGCCATGCATATTTATTCGAAGTAAATGCCACACCTGGTGCGAGTACCTTTATTAGTCTTACCAGTGACTCAACTGTACTTATCGCTCCTCTCACATTGTTCAGCAGTAAGACTAAGGTCTTATAACGCGTAAATTCGGGTTTTGATACCCACGGTGGGTAGACCACAGATAGCTCATTGCGTAGCTTTATGCTTAACACCACCAACAACAAAACTTTTAGCTTTAAAAAAACGTGCATTTGCATAAGTATGTTGCTTAGTTTAAAGGCCATGCAAAATGTCAATAGATACGTTACACGTTTGATCTAATTTTTACCACATTAATAAACATTGATATTTGGCCATAGATGATACCATTGTATATTTGTAGTTAAACACAATGCTCTACAATGGGCTATCTGTGATCTGCCCACCACGGGTATCGAATCTTGGTTTCTAGCATTATAAGTCCACAGACATACCACTGGAGGGTGATATTATCGTATAAATAAACTAGATGCACATAATCAAATTGAATACAAAGTTTTAACATGTTGGCTAATCCTAAACAAATACATTGATCTAAACTTGTATCAAGTAACTGCAAATATGAATTAAGGATTAGCTTTCATCCACTTTGTGAAATAGTCAACAACTATTGAAACATACCAGTAACTTCATTCTATCTGCAGAAGTGGACCCATCAGCTTTATGGCCAATCATTTCAAAGCAGAATGTACTTGCTTTTGTATTAATTTCTTTAATTAGGCCATTTTTTTTATTCTACTAGTGCAGATAGTATAGTACAATATTCTTTCTGAACTTATCTAATGAACTCTGGCTTCAATTGAAATAAAATGTGCAACATTCCTTCATGTCCACTTTTGTAGGTCCAAGAAGAAACTTCAAGCTCTATATTCATTTTCTTATGAGAATACTTTTAGCCACTAAGTATCTGAAGCCCACATAATACTCCCAGCACATGGTAGGTCCACGTGGTTCTAGCATCTTTTAAAGCCTTCTATACTTTATTGAGTGTAAAGATCTGGCTTAGTTTTTCTTTGAGCCACATATGCCAGGCAATGGTTAGCCGAGTATTTTTAATATCCTTAGAACTTCTACATAGGTACCAAACTAGCTCTTGATTTTCCCTTGTGGTCATCATGGTTATCCTTGGCTTTCATTGTATGGTGGCATTTCCCCTCCTCCTTACGGCTCTCTCTCATTATCAACTGCTCCCATATTTAAATGTTTAAAGAAATTCTACAAAAGTGGAAGGGATATCTGCATTATGTTGATATCCCCCTTGTTGACATCATCTTAACACAAACTTCTATAGTACTGTAATCCATTATGAATCCCTTAAAAAACAAAATTCATCAAACATTTAAGAAAGCATGGTTTATCCTCTATTACATTTATTTTCAGAATAATTGTGACATCAGGCTAATTGTAAGTCAAGACTGAAGCGACAAATAAACTGTGTTTCATTGTTTCAAGCTACTGCTCTCAGTTCTCACACCCTGTTTTACTATTGTCCTAATTGGCCATCATGAGATTTAGAATGCCAGTGTCTAGTTTTTCTCAAAACAATGATATTAGAAAAGCTTTGAGCCTCTTTTATGAATATAGACCTAGCCTAACCTCCAAATGATTCAAATTGTCCTCGAGACTCCTTACCAACCACATATCCATAATCTCAAGCTTGGAGTGTATTATGGCTCACTGCCCAGATTTAAGTTTTAATGCAATTATCTTCTCTCTCTTAAAAACCATCATTAGGCTGTCTTTTTCAAAAGCCCTTGCAAATACCAACACATTACCTACTTATATCAAATATCTCTACTAAAGTCCACTCAAGAACAACTTCAGCTAATGTTTGAAGGTTTCACTCAAAAAAGCACTTCTCTTGGTTTGTACATCCCACTGCTTGAAGTTAACAGCAGAGGTGTTAGGTCTACTAACCACATTCAGTTCCACATGTCAGTAACATGATGCCAAATCAAGTGAAATAAGCAGTTAAACAAAAACTGTCTACTTCTGCCAACACCATTCTAAAGAAGTGAAATCAGTCTTTTTCACTATTATACTTTGGCTTCCCAAGTGTGTGCTCACTTTTGTTGCTTACATGGAATACCTGCTGCATACATCCTAAAGCTTTTATCTAAGCTACTAATAATATCCTTCTTTTTCCTCAGAATATCACTCCTAGAGTAATCAAGACCATAACAAACATGTTCTTTCTGCATGTTGATCTTCAGATTTGAAATTTCTCCACTTCTCCAATCACAGCCCGCTAGTTGACATAACATGTAAAATATCACCCTTTTGGGAATTTTCCAATATACTTTCAGGATGAATAACCAGCCCCTGCTTCAAACATAAAAACTACCCAGCATCCAGTGGGACAAACCAAGCATACTATAATGCTTACAAAAATCCCAATATAACTATCACCACTGTTTCCCTGATTACCTTTCAGTTTTCATTCTAAGTCAACAGTCAGACGTAGCTTGGAAATAATAAATTTATCAGCTAGTTTTTCACTCTTTTATCCCAAATCTCACCTTGAGAACATGATGTCCTTCAATGTGGACACTCTCTCAGGTACAATGGTTCATCAATACCACAAATGAAGCAATCTTATTTGCAAAACAATTATTCCTTACTCAGTGAAGACTGCCAATAAACCCTTTTTATTCTAATTGTTTTTGACCTTGTTTACTAGCAATTTACATGGCTGGAGCTATGACTGACTGACCAACACTTCAATGAAACTTGTGTCTGATTTGTTTCATCCTTTAAATACAAACAATGAGATTGCTTTTCTTCCTTGAAACACCAACAATTACTGTTCCCCTCACCTGCTGACCTGTGTAAGTATTTAACGCATAGTGGCTTGTAATATAGTTTGTCAGAGACGGTAGATACCTCACATTAGTGTAAATTTTTAAGTTGGAAATAATGCACAGGTAGAAAGCACTGAAAATATTTTAATACTTCTAAAGAATGAATTTTAAAATTTTCTCCTTATATTAAAAAATATTAAAACCTGTTATGATCATTAAACAATAGATTTTGTGGACGTTAGAAAACGTTTTTAAAATAAAGTATTGTTTTCATTAGTGAACACTTAAAAATGTTAGTTTACGATATTTTTTATATATTTGCATAGAGCTACACAAAGCTGTCCCTAATTTTGAACTGATACGCTATAGAGAGGGCAGCTAACCAACAGCACCCACCAAGAACTCTTGGGCTACTCTAATCAAATAGTGGAATTTGATCATCACTTTTATAATATACCCATGGTCCCAAAGTGGGGATTGCAATTTTGCAGCAATGGATGCAAACCATGGACATTTGAATTCACAATCTGGCACATTAACCACTAAGCAACACTTGGCTCTATTAATGAAAAATGTATTAACAACTGTAATTAGGCCATTTCCATTCTTTTAAATATGTACTTCTAACAGAAGTATCTTAGAAAACTTGTTATCAAGTTATAAACATATAATTTTATATGCTGTTTTGTGTCTCTGATTGGTATTCATAACAACTTACAGAGACATTAATTGATAAATTTTTATTTTATATATATAAACTATTTCAATTTTAAAGCATCTTAAAAAGACATACAGCTATGAAAATGATATTTTTCTGATGTAGAATTTATATTTTGCAGTATTTAAAAAAATCTTTTCTTTATATTTTATTATACAAATACTGTTTAAATAAGTATTCACAGTTATCTACGTTATAAGGTCTTAATGATTTTAAGTTTTCAAACTTGTGAGACATGCTTTATTGTGTAAGAGTTAAAGCAGAATGATAAATGAGAAGTAGACATCCAAAGCAGGTCAATTTAAAACTATAAACAAAATTTATAGGTAGAACACACTGATGTTAGACTTCGATTACCATTAACCAATCCTTGAAAGTCTTATGTTTCACATAATGGAACAAACATATATTATCATTCAAATAAGCATAAGAACCGTAAACAGATGCAGTTTAAATATGAAACTGAAGAAATTGAGATGTGAGAAGTTTAATAGAATCACTCTTTAAGACATCCCATCAGTTAACAGGAAGAGAGTAAATGAAATGCAAAACTTGGATCTAAATGCTGGTTGGATTATCTAGAAACTAGGTTCAAATAACTTTGATAAACTTTATTGATGAATGAGGTATATTTTGATGTTTTCTGGTTGAAATCTGTTTAACATTATATTTTTCCATTCATAAGATTATACTTTCTAAAAGTATTCAACATAAATAAAATTAATGTGAAATTAATATTTTGAAGAGACTTAATCTCTGTTAACAATTATTACAGTCAACCCTAATTCAACTGAAACATTGCAACAAAACTATCTATACAGCAATTTTCACCAGAAAAAACAAATTATGCTCAGATACTTTTAAATTTCCAGACTTTTAGAATTATTTCTGCTGAAAGCTGTATTTGAGAGTTTAGCAGTATAAAAAAAAACAAAGTCTTGAACTGTTAATGCAACACACAAACACAGTTACTTTACAAAGTCTTTTTTAAACTTTGAATGAAAGACACAAAAACTTAGAATTACAAAGCACACAGTTTTGCCACTCAAACCCTCAGCCACAGGTATCCAAGCTCTAGACCCCTTCAGCCTTTGAAGGTTCATCAAAATTTTCTACCAGATCTAAAAAATAAATGAACATTTTGAAGGAAATGTATATTATATTAATATAAAAGTAAAACAGCAGTATGAAGTTTACAAGTAAAGCACTCCTTCTCAAAGTAAAATAACAAAACAAACATTGCTACTTTTTATATTTAGCATGTTCTTACAATTTAGGATTTGTTTAATTTGTGACAAAATTAAACAAATAGTGTCCACAAACTATGTCACTAAAATGAAAGTTATGAAAACATGGAGAGCTTTTTGACAGCCATTACCTTTATAAGGTTAGAATGTGTCCAATCTCAAGAAAACCCAGTTTAATATCTTACCCACATACATACCTCTGGTGTTAGATAGTTATGTTGTTTTTGAGTGGCAGTTCAGATCATTCAGAGTTAATGCTTTATCAGCATGGCCACTCTTTTGTTTCTGGAACTGACCCATATGGTAAAATAGGTGTTATTCACACAGTACTCTGTTAAGCTGATTAGGTGGTCTATATCAGATTGTCTTGATCTAGTTTAGTAAATTAACTCTTTTCACCGCGGGCTCGGTCCCTGGAACCGGCCTTGTAACAATTTTGTGCTTGTTATAGTATTTATGCTACAACTTTTAAATTAGTAAGCGAATGTTAACGAAATTTGGCAGATTATCAGTAAACGTTACAATGTTTTCATATGCAAAATATAATTTTTTTTGTTAAGTCTTAAGGTTTATAAAGCAATGTTTTTCTCATGTCTATTTTTTCTTTTCGCATGTTGCCTATCTATCATGCAAAGTAATATTCATTTTAAGATTAAAAGTACTTTTATGTATAAGAAAATTTTGAAAT